TCCTCCCTCCTCTCTCTCTCTCTCTCTCTCTCTCTCTCTCTCTAGTGGATGTTACTGGGGTTGGTACTATGGTGATGTACTCCCTACCTCTCACTAGTGGATGTTACTGGGTCCAAGCTATGGTGATGTAGCCTCTCTCACTCTCTCTATAGTGGATGTTACAGGGGGTGGTGATGTCGCCTCTCTCTCTCTGGCAGCTAAGTTTTCTGGCTGTCAAATTTTTCAGACTTGCAGCTGAAGCTTAGTTTGAGGTTAATTACCATTTGATACATGCAGGCTGAGAAGATGGGATTGGATTATATGGATGTTGAAGGGTTGAAGAAGATGAACAAGAATAAGAAGCTGGTGAAGAAACTCGCCAAGAAATACCACGCCTTTCTTGCATCAGAAGCAGTCATCAAGCAGATCCCAAGGCTTTTGGGTCCTGGTCTTAACAAGGCAGGGAAGTTTCCTACCCTGGTTTCTCACCAGGAATCACTGGAGGCAAAGGTGAATGAGACAAAGGCCATTGTCAAATTCCAACTTAAGAAGGTTCTCTGCATGGGGGTTGCTGTTGGCAATTGTGCTATGGAGGAGAAGCAGGTCTTTCAGAATGTCCAAATGAGTGTTAACTTCTTGGTTTCACTGTTAAAGAAGAATTGGCAGAATGTACGCCTCTCTCTCTCTCTCCCTCTCTCTCTCACACACACACACACACACACACTCTGTGTCACACACACGGGTGGCTGCACATGCACATGTGCCCTTGCACACACTTTTATATTTTGATTTAAGTATCTGCATTGTGGAGCACGTGGTGTTCAATATGATGCTTTGAGAGGAAATGACTGATTTTGGGTTCTTTGCGAATCAGGTGAGGTGCTTGTACCTGAAGAGTACCATGGGTAGGGCTCACCCACTCTTCTAAATTGGGTTTTGTTAGATAATCAGGAGAAAAGACAATTTTGTATTTCAGCGAGGTAGTGTACTATTTCTGTCCCTATCTAGCAGAAAGAGTGAATCTCTCTTTTTAATGTTTTCTGGTTACATACTGCTGTCTATTCAGATCCTAGAATAACGTGGCTCAGGGTTTATCTATTATTTTAAAGAATTTACACATGGGAGGTCTCAGCATATTGGTTTACTCTTCATTGGGGTTTCTAGCTTCAATGACCATCCATAATGAATGGGTTAAGGTTGGTTGGTTAAGTCCCTGGTTACCAAACTACTGTTATCTTATACTAGCCTTGTTATTTTAGTTAGTTCTTGATCAACGAGCTGTTTATCATAAATGGATGGCTTATAGAGAGTGTTTGGGAACGCGTGGAAACAGTGTTTCAGGGCTTAGTGCCTCCTTTTCCCAAGGCAGTCAAGGCTCCAAAATGGAAGGGTGTTTGGGGACTATCAAAACACTTTCTCGACTTAATGTAAAAACCCCAAGAAGAGGGCTTTTTATCATATCCCCAAGAAGAGGACTTTTTATCATATCCTCCGAAATATTTCAAAATGAACGTATCTAATTTTCTTGTTCATTACATGTGTGCTCATTTTTTTTTATTTTTTTATATGCCCACATTACAACCTAATTAGGTCCGAAAAAGGCTCTATGGACGTTGTAGATCTGTGAAGTTCCTTTGTTATGCCCAGGGAACACTATTTGGTTGCTTGGGGTGTTTATATAACAGGTTCGCATAAACTTTTGAAAATCAAAGGGATTCATTTCTTGATATTTTGAAGAACTTTCAAAACATGGCTGCAATATCCTTCTAATTTTCAAAAATTTTCTATGTATCTGATTTTCTTGGTTATTACATGTATACACATCATGGACCTAATAGCTCTGTAAAGGCGTTATGGATTTGTTGGGTCCGTGAAGTTCCTTTGTAATGCCAAGGGAGCATGATTTATGTGCTCGGGATCTCTACGGACTTGTTAGGTCCATGAAGGATAAATAAGGTTACTTATGACCATTGCTATCATGTTTTGAAAGTTATTATATTGGATCCCTATAATTTTCAAAAATTTAAATGAACCTTTTGTAGTAAGAATCCAAGCACCCACATGGTGCTACTTGGGCATGATAAAGGGTCTGAGGGCTTCTTGGGCATCAAATAAGAACAAATGGATAGTGTTTAATAAACCAGAAATTTAGGCAAGTCCGGAATTTTGAAAAAATAGAGGGATATTATCTATAGTTTTCCCAAGTTCAAATAGGTGCCAATATCTCTTTTAGTTGCAACTCTACGGCCTGCTTGAAATGCTGTTAGGGCAAGGCACTCTCCTTGGCAAGGTTTCCCTATAGAAACGAAACTCAAAGATTTTGTTTTTGGTTTAAAATGGGTGTAAGCTTTCTATGCTTTCCCCTACTGCATAAAATTTATATACTTCCCTTATGATCCAACTATCCAATTTGAATGGATAGCTTTTATGATCTCAATCACAATGTCACATAGATACCTTATTTTATTTTTAAATTTTTTTACAAATCATTGTTGCACCAAATTTTGGATGTACACTCTTATCTTAAACTTGCACTTGTAAAAAATATAAAAAAAATATATATTTTTAATAAAATACAATGATCAAAATACTTTTTGAACGTTATAAGGGGTATTTTGGTCATTATATTTTATAAAAAAATTCTTTTTAATATTTTTTTTTGATGTGCCTCGTTGATTAGAAGGTGCCTACCAAATTCATTTTCATACAATTTGTAGAAAAACAACTAAAAAATATATTGAGACGTCAGGTCAAGATCAAATAGGAAACGGTTCAATTGATTAGACGGCTGGACTAGGGGAAAAGGGGTATAGATCTTCTACGTTGTAAGGAAAAGTATAGAAATATTTCCCATAATACATGGGTCAGCATGCATAAGGGGTTCTAATGGTCAGCATGCATGAGGGGTTCAATCATTAGGAATAATGAATGCTTTTGCTCATTTTGTTGTAAATTTTCAATGCACATTTACATTGGTGCGGCATTTGGCGTTATTATCTCACAATTTTAAGGTTAAATATCATTTTACCCCATAAAAATTCCACTGATTTAATGGGAACATCCCACTTTTTATTAAGAGGTTTTAGAAATATTATAAATAGTCCATCCACCCTTCCAAATGTGTGTACTGGCCTTTTTCATTTTTAATTCTCATTAAGTGCCTCAAATAAACTTTTAAATAACACGTATCTTCTCTCCTCTATTTATTTATTATTTTTAGAAGCCTATAAGCATAACCCTTTGCATTGTTCAACACTAGCTCTTATAGTGGCGTGAAGTAAGTTGGTGATTCAATTTATGGGTTTTGAGAAAGGGGCGGCTTTTTATGTGACCGTACCCACATGGGAAAAATATGTGCCTAGTATTTCTCCGTCGTCGGATCTAAAGGGACAACTAGGATAACCCCGGCTTTAATTTCGTAAAATTAGATGTAAACTTGGGAACTAACTGGCTCTGGGCTGGTAACCCTTCCCTTACCGAACCAAGACGTACGCCAGTCTGGCACTCCATACTCTCTCTCTATCTCATTCTCTCTTTAACCCTACCCATACTAACCCTAGCCATCTGTCTTTACCAATACTAACCCTAACCCTTGTCAATAGCTTCTTTCTCTTCCAATAATGGTAGGAATCCACAATAACCTTACCCTTTGTTAAAATGGAATGAAGCCGCAGAAACCCTATCCCTCTGTGAATCGCTTCAATTCAAGTCTCTCTCACTGACTTCAACAATGGAATCAAGAGGAAGTGAGGGGAGCAGTGATGAAAGAAGAGGAAGTGAGGGGAACAGTGGTCACAACAGAATGAAGGAATAGCTTCAATAATTTGTGTTGTAGTTTGGGTTGTGGTTTGTTCATCAAAAACAAGATAATATCAATTGATTCGGTTAATTAAGAAAGTCTTTTTTTTTTAAGAAATTTAGTTTTAAGAGTAGTAGAGGAATGAACGCGATCTCCTTTCTTACTAGATTATGTAAATTTTTTTGGTTTGATTTTTATAGAAAAAGAAAGTGCTATTTCTCTCTCTCTCTCGATCTCTCTGCCTTTTGTCTTTGATTGTAAAGTTCGTCTCTTTCTTTCTCTAAAGTTGGTATCTCTCTCTTTCTCTCTCTCTGCCTTTAATGGTAAAGTTAGTAATTTTGAGCTAAGCACTGAGTTCGCAACTTTGGGTAAGGCAATTGATTTTTTGGTAAAGTATTACAATTCTAACATAACTTGGATCAATGCTAGTTCATAATTGATTTTTTGGTAAAGTATTACAATTCTAACATAACTTGGATCAATGCTAGTCCATCATCATCTTCCTCTTCCTCTCATTTTTGCTAGAGAGAGAAAGCGAGCTGGTTGCTGCTGCTGATCCTGCTCTCCTCTCTTCCTTTTCATCTCGTTTTTGCTAGAGAGATAACGAGATAGTGGTTGTGTGGCTACTGCTCTCCTCTCTTACTCTTCCTCTCATATTTTGCTAGGGAGAAAAAACAATAGAAATGGAATGCTTCCTCTCATATTTTGTTAGAGAGAAAAAGCAATAGAAATGGAATGAAAGGGTTAGAGAGAAACAATGAGATTAGAGAGAGAGAGAGTATGGCGCGCGATATTGGTCGGATGGGTAAGGGAAGGACAACAGGTGAAAGCTGGTTCATCAATGACATTTTGATCGGTGTTATCTCATCCGTTTCTTTGGTTCTGATGGCTGGAAAATACCAATCACATATTTTTTCGATATGGGTGGGGTCACATAGAAACACTCCCCTTTGAGAAATAAGAGATAAAAAGGGAGTAGAGAGAGAAGTGAGTGTTGTTTGAGAACTAGTTTGGGCAGTTAACGGTTATTAAAATAAAAATTGACTATAAGGATATTTTGAGGGGGCGGATTGAAATATTTGTAAACTTATTGATGTCGCTTGATAAGAATAAAAGGTGAGGGGTTATTACAAACTAAGTGACATTTTTAGGGGTCATAATGATTTTCCCCTATAGTAATTTTTTATTTTTTGCTTCCTTTACTACTCGATCAACGAGGACATCGGCTGAAAGATCTGAAACCTAATGGATTTAAGTTGCTAAGGAAAGTGTTGTTGTTTCAAACACCATTTAATCACATTCATCAAATCCCTTTTAATGATAACACCTGCCACTGTATTTCTGGCCACTAGAATTTTCAGGCTATGAAAAATCACAAGAAGTTCTGCATGATTTGCCGTAGTGATTCCACACGGGCTAGCATATGCAGCTAAAACATTTCCTTGGCAATGACGTATTGTACCACCGCAGTGATTTGCCGTAGTGATTCCACACGGGCCAGCATATGCAGCTAAAACATTTCCTTGGCAATGACGTATTGCACCACCGTAGCCAGCTAGAACTGGATTGCCTAGCGAGCTTCCATCAAAATTCTGCTTAAGCACTCTTGGATGGCTTCCATCTAGTAGAAGGTCTAACTTTAGGCACATCCAACTGAAAAAGGTTAGAGAGATTAATAAAAACATCAACCTTGGATAAACCCTTGCCTTCCTTGATGACAGCTAGCCATGACCAAAGGGAGATTTTAATATTATTTAGTACCCTATCAAAACGACACACTTTCCCTTCAAAGGTTCTTCAATTTCTCTCCAACCATACTTCCTATAGAACAACAGCGTAAAGGATCTTCCAGATAGAATTCCCAATTTTCGGTAAAGGCACCTCCAATTGAGTGATCAAATCCAATACATGTTGCGGTAAGGTTAGGGTCACCCCCAACAATTGAAAGCATCACCATCAAATTTTGGATATAAACGAACAATGGATAAATAGGTGTGCCCCACACTCACCATCTTCCTTGCATATCAAGCAAACATTAGTGATGAACTTCCATCTTTTAATCAGATTGTCAACACTTAGGATTTTATCTTGGGCCGCCAACCAAAGAAAGACCTACACTTTATGTGGAATAGGCCAATTTCAGATTTATTTTATCTTCGGAAGAAACCAACGCACTCTGTCAAAGAAAAGTAATATATAGACCGACTTAACAAAGAAATGACCATCATTTTCAATTTCCAATACCACGTCATCTTCATCATGCTGCCTAATGAAAGTTTGCTCAAGCTCTTGTAGCAAATTAAGAAGCGGAAGAAAGAGATAACTCTGAAGTCTGTCATAAGGGAAAGTGATATTCCAGTAAGCCTTGTCACTTCTAACTTCCAACAAGTCTGCCACCGTAGCCTGGAGA